CTCAGTCCCCAACAATGCAGGTACTGTTGTCCATTCAGTTTTGGTTACTAATGTGCCTTCTGTGCTTGAAACAGATACTCTAGCATCCCGAGCAGAAGTTCCAGTTGAGGGGAAGAGAAGAGAGATTGGCAACTCTAAGAGTGAACTGAGAGAGGGAGAGGTGGCATTTGAAGAGAGACAGGAGGAGGAATTAGAGAGGATCTGCGCATTGTTGGAGTATAAAGAGAAGGAGGAGGAATTAGATCAAAGGGAGAGAGTAGTAACTTCTCAAGAAAAAGACTACTACAAAAGCTCCAATTTGGGGGGAGAGGTGGATGAAGCTAGTGCATTAACTAGGAAGACTGAGGGGTAATAATAGAAGGAAAAAGAAAAAGAAATCAGAAGTGAAGAGATTAATTTCAGATATTGAGGGTGATATTGAATTTAGTGGGAGAGGGGAAAGAAGAAAGATTCTACTGTAAGATGGAGTCTTTGGGGAAGGGTTTTTTGAAAGAAGTGTTCAATGAAAATCATCAGCCAGAATGTGAGAGGTTTGGGAAGTGAAAGAAAGAGAAGGGCAATTAAAGACCTATTAAGAAGAGATAAACCGGACAGTCTTGATACAGGAAACCAAGCTGGCAGAATTGGATAGAAAATGGGTCAGAAGTGCATGGAGATCAAGAGGAGTTTGTTGGACTTCTGCTCCTTCTTGTGAAGCCTCTGGAGGTCTAGACGTCTAGTAACCTTATGGAGGGAGGATGTTGTAGAATCAGTGGAGGAGCTAATAGGAAGATTTTCTGGGTCTTTAAAGGTTAGGAATGTGGGGGATGGCTTCACCTGGGTTCTAACCAATGTCTATGGGCCAAACACGTATAGAGAAAGGAATGAGATGTGGGAAGAATTGTATGGCATACGAGGTCTATGGGAGGACCCTTGGTGTCTTGGGGGGGGGGGGATTTTAATGTAATTAGGTTTTGTAATGAATCTAATAACCCCCAAAGAACAATTACAACCAACATGAGAATGTTCAATGAATTCATTAATACTTGTGGTCTAAAGGATTTACCCCTCTTACAAGCCAATTTTACATGGTCTAATTTCCAAGAAAACCCCCTCTGTTCGAAATTAGATAGGTTCCTCTTTACTGAAGAGTGGGAGAACCATTGGAGGAACCTGATGGCTAGAGCTTTACCGCAGTCACTTCTGATCATTGCCCTATCTAGTTAAGTCCTGAAACATTAGCCTCTGGTCCACGGCCTTTTAGATATGAGAATATGTGGTTAACTCACCCGGATTTTGTGCACTTGATCGGGGAATGGTGGAGAAAAGACTTAAGAGGGGTGAAATGGAAGGGAGTGAGATTCCACAAAAAGTTGAAAAGGTTGAGATCCAAAATCAAAGAGTGGAATAGGGAACACTTTGGAATGATAGAGGAGCAAAAAAGTAACTTGGTGTATAGGATTGAGGAACTAGATTCCAAAGAAGCCCAAAAGATGATGAATGAGCAAGAAAGGGTTTTGAGAAGAAACCTAAAGAAGGATCTGGAAGAGGTTCTTCTGAGAGAGGAAAGTTCTTGGAGGCAAAAGTCAAGACACAAATGGATCAAGGAAGGGGATGGAAATACAAAATTTTTCCATGCATTGGCTAATGGGAGGAGAAGAAAAAATTACGTGGTTAAGATAGAGGTGAATGGGGAGGAAGTTACAAATCAAGATGAGATAGACAAATTGTTTGTGGATCATTTCAAATCAATCTATAGGAAACCATTGAATAATAGGCCAACATTGGAAGAATTGGATTGGACTAGATTGTCTGAAGAACAAATAAATTGGTTAGAAAGGGATTTTAGTTAAGAAGAGATCAAACAGGCGGTGTTTTCAATGGATAGATCCAAAGCACCTAGTCCAAATGGCATCACAATGGCTTTTTATCAAGACTGTTAGGATGTGGTTAAAGAATACCTTGTTGAGGTGTTTCAGGAATTTGCAGATAAAAAAAAAAGGTAACCCCTGGAGTTAATGCTACTTTCTTAGCCCTAATCCTAAAGAAGGTAGATGCAAAGGACCCTAAGGATTTTAAGCCGATTAGACTGGTGACAAGCATCTATAAAATCCTGGCTAAAGTGTTGTCTCTGAGAATTCGAGTAGTACTACCCTCCATCATTAGTTAAGCACAAGGTGCTTTCGTGCAGGGAAGGCAAATAACGGATCAGATCTTAATAGCCAATGAGTGCGTGGAGTACATGAGAAAGTCGGGGACTCAAGGTTTTGCATGTAAGCTAGATTTAGAAAAGGCTTATGATCTTGTGGATTGGAGTTTTTAATTAGAGGTCCTAGGGTGTTGTGGTTTTGGAGATAGATGGTGCAACTAGGTAAAGGGTGGTATTAGCTCCTGCCATTACTAAGTCTTGGTTAATGGGGTCATCAAAGATTTTTTCCCAGCTTGTAGAGGCCTTAGACAAGGTGACCCACTCTCCCCGTTTCTTTTCACCTTAGTTGCAAATGTCTTCAGTAGATTAATCTCTAAAGCAGATAGGGAAGAGGAAGTGAGAGGTTGGAGGATTGGAAGGAACAATGTCCGGGTAACCCACCTACAGTTTGCCGATGATATCATAATATTTTGTGAAGGGGGTGATAGGCAAGAAGTGAAGAATCTCAAAGCATTGCTACAACACTTTGAGAATGTCTCCAATTTGAAGATAAACCTGGATAAGAGTTGTGTGGTAGGTGTTAATGAATGAAAGGATTCTTCAGTCTGTAGCAGATTGTTTAGGTTGTCCCATTTCTTCTTGGCCCTTGCAGTACCTAGGTCTCCCTCTAGGAGCTCACCCAAAGGAGAGTAGATTTTGGACCCCAATTCTGGAAAAAGTTGAGAAAAGATTAGCTTCTTGGAAAAAGAACTACATCTCTATAGGGTGTAGAGTGACTTTATTGAGAGCTACCCTAGCAAACCTACCGGTCTATTTTTTCTCTATCTTTAGGATTCCTAATAGGGAGGCTAAGAAGTCGGAGAGGTTAATGAGATCTTTTCTGTGGGAGCCTGGGGAGGAAAAGAAAGATCACCTAATCAACTGAGAAATAGTTTGTAGGAGTAAAGAGGAGGGTGGATTGAGATTAGGAAGGTTAGCTCTCAAGAATAAAGCTCTTAGGGAAATGGTTGTGGAGGTGGCCTAGAGAAAGGGAGAGGTTGTGGCATGAAGTGAAAGCTAGTATACATGGCAGACTGGAAAATGGATGGGATGCGGGTGTATCACGTCAAGCTACGTTGGCATCTCCTTGGAAAGCAATCTAGAGTATCCTCCCTCAGTTTCTCAACTTTGTCAGGTATGATATCAATTCTGGTGGCACTGTTTTATTTTGGGAAGACACTTGGGTGGGTACCATTGCCCTTAAGGACAAGTTCCCAGCTTTCTATTCTCTTTCCCTTTACAAGGAAAAAGCTCTCTCTCATTTTCTCCCATCTCTTACTTCACCCTCATCCTTAAGTTGGGACTTTGGCTTTCGGAGAGGTTTGAGGGATGATGAACTTAGTAGTGTTTCAGATTTGTTGTCTCTTCTTGGCAGTGTCTTTCTGGACCCTATTAGTTTGGATGTGAGATTATGGTCCCCTCATCCAAAAGGCTTTTTCCCTTGTGCTTCCTTTTTTAAGTCCCTTTGCTCTTCCATGGGACAGTTGAGTTTTCCGACATATGGACTAGACCTGTTCCACCTAAAATTATTATTTTCTACTGGGAGGTGTTTTATAGAAAGATTAATATTTTGGACTGCTTGCAGAAGAAAAGGCCTTTCATGTGTTTGTCCCCTAACTGGTGTGTACTTTGCAGGGCTAGTGGTGAGGATTGCTCCCACCTACTTGTATCTTGTTCCTTTTCTAGTGCTATTTGGAGTTGGATTTTTTCTTTGTTTGGGTGCAAGTGGAATCTGTCCACAAACTTAAGTCAGCTGTTCGATCCTTCTCTTTTTGTTTGGCCTACAAAAAAAGGAAAAATGATGTGGAGATGTATTAGAGCAGCCACCTTGTGGACAATCTGAGAAGAAAGGAATGCAAGGGTTGTTTTTTTTTTATCAATAGGAATGCAAGGGTATTCAAAGAAAAGGAAAGAAGCATTCAGGCTGTTGAGGATTGTATCTTGACTAGGGCCATTCATTGGTTAAGAACTATGGACTTCTTTCATACATTTTCCTTTGATGATATTTGGAGAAACTGGAAACCGGTGGCCAATAGCCATACGAGGAAGGATAGGGAATTTGCAGTGTGGAAGCCTCCACCTGAAGGTTGGGCAAAGCTGAACTTTGATGATAGTAGCCAAGGAAACCCAGGCCCATCGGGGATAGGAGGGGTGCTGAGAGATAAGGAAAGCAATATTTTAGCCTTGTTTTCAGGCTCTGTGGGAATAGGAGACTCTAATAGAGCTGAGATTTTAGCGGCTGTACAAGGTATTCAGATTGCGGAACAATTAAGAGTTCAGCATTTGGTAGTTGAAGGAGACTCCAAAATTGTTGTGGGATGGCTGACAGATCTAGCTTCAGCTATGTGGCAATACAGAGACTTATTGAGGAAAGTCAACTGGCTCACAAGAAACATGACAGTTACCTCTCTTTGGGTGGGAAGATCAGCAAATACCTTAGCGGATGGGCTAGCTAAGCAAGGGGCTTCAAGGGAACATTTATTTTGGGCTGCTATAATTTTATTTCTGTTTATTCCTGTTTTGTAATTTGATGTAATACTTTGTTAGAAGAGGTAACAGCCCGTGCCTCTTCATGGGTTTTGTATTGCCTTAATTTTCTGGATCAATAAATTATCTTCATTCATCAAAAAAAACAAGGAAAAACACTGGAATATTAAGAATGGAAATTAATTCATGTCAACCAGAAAACCCAATTCCCAAATCCTTTCTTATAATTAAAACCAATCATATTCATAGCAGCAATGCTATACCAAATTATCAAATAAGAGAAAACATAAGAAGCAAACAAATGAAGGAGTGACCTTCATTCACTCATAATAAAGAATCCACTTACAGCATAATGAAATGTCTGCACATTGATCACGTCACCTGAGGTCTGATCTGCAGAAACAGCAAAACCAAACCCACCAAGTTTCCAAGCTCCACTGGAAGTAATAAAGACAGTCTGCATCACCAAGATTTGATTAATGCTATGCACGAAATATGACCCTCTGGCCCCAAATGACCAAAAGATCTGGGTTCTAGAACGACAGAGACATAAACTGCAGGAAATACTACCACATGGAATAAATATTAAAGTTTCCATCACACAATAAAAGTGGAAGGAGATACCAATCTAGTTCCTAGATCATTTTCAGTTTGGATAATTAAATCCCCATCATGCATGAAGAACATACAAGCTAAGAACATGATGATTTGCAAGCAAACCATTTTTACAGTCAACACCATAGTTTTAGAGAAACATTTCCATTCTAACTTACACCCATAAAAAAATGTGTACAATCACAAGAAAAGATACAAGCAAGGCTGAAAATTAATCTACTAGCATGAGCCATAATTAGCTGGAAAGGACGTTGCCTTAACAGAAGAGAAGAGGGCATTAAAGAAAGAAGCACACGAAAAAAGACATGAGGGACAGACTAACCACACTCAACTGTGAAACAAGGAAGGGTCCAAAAAAAAATAAGACTCAAAAGACTATGAAATTCATCAAGAGCCCCCATTTCAGACTCTCTCAGCCCTCTTCTCAACCCTAGATCCTAAGCACCCCTAGCACAATGGACAGAGTAGACAGGTTTTTGTTCTTGTAGGGAGATGGCATAGATAGAATAGAACCTTTCTTTGAGAGGCTTTCCCCTAACCAAATGTCCTCCCAGAAAAGGACTTTATTACCAGCATAAGCATCATAACTTACAAAAGGAAGGAACAAAGGAAGAGTACCATGAGTAGCAGCATTCTCTGCTTGAGACAAAACCCTGTTGTACCTTTCAGTTTCAGCTCTGGCAAACTCAACTCATGGAGGACCAATGGCCACTGCATCAATAACAAACAAGACAACATTTGCACTGCCCTTCCTGCCATTATTCCCATTATTCTTCTTAAACTGAGCTGGTAGCCTGGTACTAAGTGTGGATGCAGCTTCCTACATGTCTCACATGTATATTTTGGCTTCTTGCAATAGTCACATGCACTTCCTCCTTTCCATCTGTACTACCACCCTTGTTTTTGGTCTTAGATATGGATAGGGTTGCATTATCTCTACATTTTTACGTAATATAGCACTCCTGCTCACCTCACTGTGAACCAAGGAGTAAGCCTGTGAGAGAGATAGGTCTCCATGTGTGAGGATGTGCTGTCAAGAAATGTCATATTCCTGATTCAACCTATCCAGGAGGAATTCAAAGATTTTTTTTGAAGATACAAATAAAATTCATTAAAATAAAAGAGAGAGAGAGAGAGAGAGTTGCAACCTAGCAGGTGACAAGGTGCAAAAAGAAAAAAACAAAAGACCTGCTAGGGAGCAGAGATACAGGATTACAAATAGCTATCCAGGTGTGAGGATGTGCTGTCGAGTGATATCATATTCCTGATTCAACCTAGCCAGGAGGAATTCAAAGATTTTTTTTGAAGATAAAAATAAAGTTCATTAAAATAAAAAAAAAAATAAAAAAAGGAGAGTTACAACCTAGCAGGTCATAAGGCATTACCTGCACAACATAGGGAAGCAAAAAGAAAAAACAAAAGATCTGCTAGGGAGCACAGATACAGGATTACAAAAAGATATCCAGGTTACAAAGATGGAATCTCAAGATACTTCCCAAACAATCCCCCAAATCCTCCCTAGAGACATGGTTAAATTCTTGAGTTGCAAGAACCCAATCCGCTACTGAGTTGCTGACAGCTGCCACAATCTTGTCCAAATTCCAGTATTATTCTTCAAAAATTCTTCTGTTTCTTTCTCTCCAATGTTCCAACAAATTGCAAACGGTAAACAGCTCCAAATCATTTTTGTTTTCTTGCTTCCTCTTAATTTTGGCCATGAAGAGAAAATTCCTGCAGCAGTGCCTGGCTGAAAGTTTGAGACTCCAAAAAAAGATGACTGACAGATTCCTCCCGTTCTTTGCATAGGACACACATATTAGCAAGCTGAAGCCCCTGGATTTCAGATGGTCCACAGTCAGAATACTATCCATGGCAACCAGCCAGGCAAAGAACCAGATTTCCCCAAACAGTTGCTACCTGATCTGAATCTGAAATATTTCTGATGAGAGCCATATAATTTAACAGTAAACTTCCCATTTGAGCATTCTTTCCACCAGAATTCATCCCTTGACCGAGCTGAGATCTTCACTTTCTCTAACCTTTTTTTATCAATAACTTTGAAAATTTTTATTAATTAAGATGCTTTAATATACAACAAGAAGTTACAAAGAAATCGGCATAGAAGCTGACCCAAGACAGAATTACAAATTTGCCCAAAAGATATCTGTTCTTTGAACCCCTTGCTTTGCTAAGCTATCAGCCAAGCTGTTGGCCAATCTCCTAACCCAACCCACCTGAATAGACAAATTTTTTGACATCCATTTGAACCTTCTGAAATCATTCTTCAGCTGCCAGGTCACTCCTTCCCCTTTTTGCAACCATTTTATCACAGTTTTTGAGTCTCCCT